GGTAGAGGGGCAAGTGGGTGGGGACTGGTAGAGGGGCAAGTGGGTTGGACTGGTAGAGGGGCAAGTGGGTTGGGACTGGTAGAGGGGCAAGTGGGTTGAGACTGGTAGAGGGGCAAGTGGGTTGAGACTGGTAGAGGGGCAAGTGGGTTGGGACTGGTAGAGGGCAAGTGAGGTTGGTTGACTGGTAGAGGGGCAAGTGGTTGAGACTGGTAGAGGGGCAAGTGGGTTGGGACTGGTAGAGGGGCAAGTGGGTTGGGACTGGTAGAGGGGCAAGTGGGTTGGGACTGGTAGAGGGGCAAGTGGGTTGGGACTGGTAGAGGGGCAAGTGGGTTGGGACTGGTAGAGGGGCAAGTGGGTTGAGACTGGGTAGAGGGGCAAGTGGGTTGGGACTGGTAGAGGGGCAAGTGGGTTGGGACTGGTAGAGGGGCAAGTGGGTTGGGACTGGTAGAGGGGCAAGTGGGTGTTGGGACTGGTAGAGGGGCAAGTGGGTTGAGACTGGTAGAGGGGCAAGTGGGTTGATTTCGGACTGGTAGAGGGCAAGTGGGTTGGGACTGGTAGAGGGGCAAGTGGGTTGAGACTGGTAGAGGGGCAAGTGGGTTGGGACTGGTAGAGGGGCAAGTGGGTTGAGACTGGTAGAGGGGCAAGTGGGTTGGGACTGGTAGAGGGGCAAGTGGTTGAGAGTAGGGGCAAGTGGGTTGAGACTGGTAGAGGGGGCAAGTGGGTTGAGACTGGTAGAGGGGCAAGTGGGTTGGGACTGGTAGAGGGGCAAGTGGGTTGGGACTGGTAGAGGAGCAAGTGGGTTGAGACTGGTAGAGGGGCAAGTGGGTTGGGACTGGTAGAGGGGCAAGTGGGTTGGGACTGGTAGAGGGGCAAGTGGGTTGGGACTGGTAGAGGGGCAAGTGGGTTGGGACTGGTAGAGGGGCAAGTGGGTTGAGACTGGTAGAGGGGCAAGTGGGTTGAGACTGGTAGAGGGGCAAGTGGGTTGGGACTGGTAGAGGGGGCAAGTGGGTTGAGACTGGTAGAGGGGCAAGTGGGTTGGGACTGGTAGAGGGGCAAGTGGGTTGAGACTGGTAGAGGGGCAAGTGGGTTGGGACTGGAAGAGGGGCAAGTGGGTTGGGACTGGAAGAGGGGCAAGTGGGTTGGGACTGGTAGAGAGGGGCAAGTGGGTTGAGACTGGTAGAGGGGCAAGTGGGTTGAGACTGGTAGAGGGGCAAGTGGGGTTGAGACTGGTAGAGGGGCAAGTGGGTTGAGACTGTAGAGGGGCAAGTGGGTTGAGACTGGTAGAGGGGCAAGTGGTTGAGACTGGTAGGGGCAAGTGGGTTGAGACTGGTAGAGGGGCAAGTGGGTTGAGACTGGTAGAGGGGCAAGTGGGTTGAGACTGGTAGAGGGGCAAGTGGGTTTGAGACTGGTAGAGGGGCAAGTGGGTTGAGACTGGTAGAGGGGCAAGTGGGTTGAGACTGGTAGAGGGGCAAGTGGGTTGAGACTGGTAGAGGGGCAAGTGGGTTGAGACTGGTAGAGGGGCAAGTGGGTTGAGACTGGTAGAGGGCAAGTGGGTTGAGACTGGTAAGAGGGGCAAGTGGGGGTTGAGTGGGTTGAGACTGGTAGAGGGGCAAGTGGGTTGAGACTGATAGAGGGCAAGTGGGTTGAGACTGGTAGAGGGGCAAGTGGGTTGAGACTGGTAGAGGGGCAAGTGGGTTGAGACTGGTAGAGGGGCAAGTGGGTTGAGACTGGTAGAGGGGCAAGTGGGTTGAGACTGGTAGAGGGGCAAGTGGGTTGAGACTGGTAGAGGGGCAAGTGGGTTGAGACTGGTAGAGGGGCAAGTGGGTTGAGACTGGTAGAGGGGCAAGTGGGTTGAGACTGGTAGAGGGGCAAGTGGGTTGAGACTGGTAGAGGGGCAAGTGGGTTGAGACTGGTAGAGGGGCAAGTGTTGAGGGTTGAGACTGGTAGACTGGTAGGGGCAAGTGGGGTTGAGACTGGTAGAGGGGCAAGTGGGTTGGACTGGTAGAGGGCAAGTGGGTTGAGACTGGTAGAGGGGCAAGTGGGTTGAGACTGGTAGAGGGGCAAGTGGGTTGAGACTGGTAGAGGGGCAAGTGGGTTGAGACTTGTAGAGGGGCAAGTGGGTTGAGACTTGTAGAGGGGCAAGTGGGTTGAGACTGGTAGAGGGGCAAGTGGGTTGAGACTGGTAGAGGGGCAAGTGGGTTGAGACTGATAGAGGGCAAGTGGGTTGAGACTGGTAGAGGGGCAAGTGGGTTGAGACTGGTAGAGGGGCAAGTGGGTTGAGACTGGTAGAGGGGCAAGTGGGTTGAGACTGGTAGAGGGGCAAGTGGGTTGAGACTGGTAGAGGGGCAAGTGGGTTGAGACTGGTAGAGGGCAAGTGGGTTGAGACTGGTAGAGGGCAAGTGGGTTGGGACTGGTAGAGGGCAAGTGGGTTGAGACTGGTAGAGGCTTGGCCTGCATGCTAGAGTCCACTAGCAGAACTTCATAGGAGACGAGACGGTTTCTTGGCCTGCATGCTAAAGTCCACTAGCGGAACTTCTTAGGAAATGAGACGGTTTCTTGGCCTGCATGCTAGAGCCCACTAGCAGAACTTCATAGGAGACGAGACGGTTTCTCGGCCTGCTTGCTAGAGCCTACTAGCAGAACTTCATAGGAGACGAGACGGTTTCTTGGCCTGCATGCTAGAGCCCACTAGCAGAACTTCATATTAGATGAGACGGTTTCTTGGCCTGCATGCTAGAGTCCACTAGCAGAACTTCATAGGAGATGAGACGGTTTCTTGGCCTGCATGCTAGAGTCCACTAGCAGAAATTCATAGGAGACGAGACGGTTTCTTGGCCTGCATGCTAAAGTCCACTAGCGGAACTTCTTAGGAAATGAGACGGTTTCTTGGCCTGCATGCTAGAGCCCACTAGCAGAACTTCATAGGAGACGAGACGGTTTCTCGGCCTGCTTGCTAGAGCCTACTAGCAGAACTTCATAGGAGACGAGACGGTTTCTTGGCCTGCATGCTAGAGCCCACTAGCAGAACTTCATATTAGATGAGACGGTTTCTTGGCCTGCATGCTAGAGTCCACTAGCAGAACTTCATAGGAGATGAGACGGTTTCTTGGCCTGCATGCTAGAGTCCACTAGCAGAACTTCATAGGAGATGAGACGTTTTCTCGACCTTCATGCTAGAGTCCACTAGCGGAACTTCATAGGAGATGAGACGGTTTCTCGGCCTGCATGCTAGAGCCCACTAGCAGAACTTCATAGGAGACGAGACGGTTTCTCGGCCTGCTTGCTAGAGCCTACTAGCAGAACTTCATAGGAGACGAGACGGTTTCTTGGCCTGCATGCTAAAGTCCACTAGCGGAACTTCTTAGGAAATGAGACGGTTTCTTGGCCTGCATGCTAGAGCCCACTAGCAGAACTTCATAGGAGACAAGACGGTTTCTCGGCCTGCTTGCTAGAGCCTACTAGCAGAACTTCATAGGAGACGAGACGGTTTCTTGGCCTGCATGCTAGAGCCCACTAGCAGAACTTCATATTAGATGAGACGGTTTCTTGGCCTGCATGCTAGAGTCCACTAGCAGAACTTCATAGGAGATGAGACGGTTTCTTGGCCTGCATGCTAGAGTCCACTAGCAGAACTTCATAGGAGATGAGACGTTTTCTCGACCTTCATGCTAGAGTCCACTAGCGGAACTTCATAGGAGATGAGACGGTTTCTCGGCCTGCATGCTAGAGCCCACTAGCAGAACTTCATGGGAGACGAGACGGTTTCTCGGCCTGCTTGCTAGAGCCTACTAGCAGAACTTCATAGGAGACGAGACGGTTTCTTGGCCTGCATGCTAGAGCCCACTAGCAGAACTTCATAGGAGATGAAACGGTTTCTTGGCCTGCATGCTAGAGTCCACTAGCAGAACTTCATAGGAGATGAGATGGTTTCTTGGCCTGCATGCTAGAGTCCACTAGCAGAACTTCATAGGAGATGAGACGGTTTCTTGGCCTGCATGCTTGAGTCCACTAGCAGAACTTCATAGGAGATGAGACGGTTTCTTGGCCTGCATGCTAGAGTCCACTAGCAGAACTTCATAGGAGATGAGACGGTTTCTTGGCCTGCATGTTAGAGTCCACTAGCAGAACTTCATAGGAGATGAGACGGTTTCTCGGCCTGCATGCTAGAGTCCACTAGCAGAACTTCATAGGAGATGAGACGGTTTCTCGGCCTGCATGCTAGAGTCCACTAGCAGAACTTCATAGGAGATGAGACGGTTTCTCGGCCTGCATGCTAGAGCCCACTAGCAGAACTTCATAGGAGATGGGACGGTTTCTTGGCCTGCATGCTAGAGTCCACTAGCAGAACTTCATAGGAGATGAGACGGTTTCTCGGCCTGCATGCTAGAGTCCACTAGCAGAACTTTATAGGAGATGAGACGGTTTCTCGGCCTGCATGCTAGAGCCCACTAGCAGAACTTCATAGGAGATCAGACGGTTTCTTGGCCTGCATGCTAGAGTCCACTAGCAGAACTTCATAGAAGATGAGACGGTTTCTTGGCCTGCATGCTAGAGTCCACTAGCACATCTCATTTTTGGAGAGCGAAAGTATTAATATTATGATTGAGCAACTGAATCTTTTGTTGATTACAAGAGACAGAGATAGTAAGTAGTTCATCACCGTTTATAACTCATCATCGTTAAGTGTATTAAAAATGCCGATCAACTAATAACTTGAGAAGTGTTGTCTGTTGCAGGTTCAGCAATGTACAGTTGTAGCGTGTATGTATGAGGATCGTGGTGACTCTAGTCATGTATAATGTGTCATTTTCCTACAGCATGAGCTAGATACTCGTTTGAGCAGTAGAACTGTATGTGATTTAAATGTGTTGCCATTCAGAGGTTCTCACAGCATAGATAGATGTATCGCAACATACCTGTCAGTGTGAAAACAATCTGTGTGTTTATGTAACTTTGTGTGAGTGTCACTGATGTATTTGCTGTTGCCAGGTGCAGCCGAGGACGCCATCAACGCAGCACGGGAAGCCTTCCACGCCCATCTAGCCAGCCTGAAGAAAACTCAAAGAGAAACAACAGACTTTACAGACGAGGAGTTGGTCATGGAGGAGAAGGATGTGGAGCAAGAGTTCTCAGGTATGTTTATCAGATCACTTGCCATCTTCATATCGTAAGTTGGCTACAGTTGATCGTCATCATGTTTTTGTTCTGTTTTTTTCGTGTACGACACACTTTCAGATACAGCTTTTGGTTTTCTCGTCCCAGTTTATCCATTTGCATGTCTTTCTTCTATAACTCTTTCAGTCCATCAGGAAATGTCCATGGTTTCTACAGATGTCTTCTCTCATCCCTAGCTTGTATCCTCCTTGCCCGCATAGAACTGCAGGTGACACCTGGCTGTTGTGGCCCATGTGGTATGGTAAACCTTTAGGTAGATGCCCCAAGTGGTATGGTAAACCTTTAGGTAGATGACCCGAGTGGTACGGTAAACCTTTAGGTAGATGTCCCAAGTGGTATGGTAAACCTTTAGATAGATGTCCCAAGTGGTATGGTAAACCTTTAGGTAGATGTCCCAAATGGTATGGTAAACCTTTAGGTAGATGACCCAAGTGGTATGGTAAACCTTTAGCTAGATGACCCAAGTGGTATAGTAAACCTTTAGGTAGATGTCCCAAGTGGTATGGTAAACATTTAGGTAGATGCCCCAAGTGGAATGGTAAACCTTTAGACAGATGACCCAAGTGGTATGGTAAACCTTTAGGTAGATGCCCTAAGTGGTATGGTAAACCTTTAGTTGGATGTCCCAAGTAGTATGGTAAACCTTTAGGTAGATGACCCAAATGGTACGGTAAACCTTTAGGTAGATGACTCAAGTGGTATGGTAAACCTTTAGGTAGATGACCCAAGTGGTATGTTAAACCTTTAGGTAGATGCCCCGAGTAGTATGGTAAACCTTTAGGTAGATGCCCTAAATGGTATGGTAAACCTTTAGGTAGATGTCCCAAGTGGTGTGGTAAACCTTTAGGTAGATGTCCTAAGTGGTATGATAAACCTTTAGGTAGATGTCCTAAGTGGTATGGTAAACCTTTAGGTAGATGACTCAAGTGGTATGGTAAACCTTTAGGAAGATGATACAAGTGGTATGGTAAACCTTTAGGTAGATGACCCAAGTAGTATGGTAAACCTTTAGGTAGATGACTCAAGTAGTATGGTAAACCTTTAGAAAGATGACCCAAGTGGTATGGTAAACCTTTAGGTAGATGCCCCAAGTGGTATGGTAAACCTTTAGGTAGATGCCCCAAGTGGTACGGTAAACCTTTAGGTAGATGCCCCAAGGGGTATGGTAAACCTTTAGGTAGATGACCCAAGTGGTATGGTAAACCTTTAGGTAGATGACCCAAGTGGTATGGTAAACCTCTAGGTAGATATCCTAAGTGGTGTGGTAAACCTTTAGGTAGATGTCCCAAGTGGTATGGTAAATCTTTAGGTAGATGTCCCAAGTGGTATGGTAAACCTTGAGGTAGATGACCCAAGTGGTATGGTAAACCTTTAGGTAGATGTCCCAAGTGGTGTGGTAAACCTTTAGGTAGATGTCCTAAGTGGTATGATAAACCTTTAGGTAGATATCCTAAGTGGTATGGTAAACCTTTAGGTAGATGTCCCAAGTGGTATAGTAAACCTTTAGACAGATGACTGAAGTGGTATGGTAAACCTTTAGGTAGATGACTCAAGTGGTATGGTAAACCTTTAGGTAGATGTCCCAAGTGGTGTGGTAAACCTTTAGGTAGTTAGGTAGATGTCCCAAGTGGTATGGTAAACCTTTAGGTAGATGACTCAATTGGTATGGTAAACCTTTAGGTAGATGTTCCAAGTGTTAGGGTAAACCTTTAGGTAGATGACCCAAGTGGTATGGTAAACCTTTAGGTAGAAGTCCCAAGTGGTGTGGTAAACCTTTAGGTAGATGTCCCAAGTGGTATGGTAAACCTTTAGGTAGATGATGCAAGTGGTATGGTAAACCTTTAGGTAGATGTCCCAAGTGGTGTGGTAAACCTTTAGGTAGTTAGGTAGATGTCCCAAGTGGTATGGTAAACCTTTAGGTAGATGACTCAAGTGGTATGGTAAACCTTTACGAAGATGCCTGAAGTGGAAGAATTGATGCTGATCGATACAGTTTGTATATACTATAACATTTGTTTTGGTCTGGTCGGGGAATTTCGGGTTTGTTGGAAGATATATCAGTGTTATAAATATTGGTAGTTGGCTCTGTGGCGAACGCTTCGTAATGTCGGGGTGCCGGGTTCGATCCGAGCTGTGGGCCATGCGTTGGTTTCGACTGAGGTATCAGGGGGCTGACTATCCAGAAAGCAATGGCAAACTATTGGACATAAATTTGCCTAGAGAAACCACACAACAGCCCAGGGCTGCTGGGGTTAGTTCTACAATGTCCTGTAAAGGTTACGCAACTAACCTAACCTAACATATTGGTATGGAGAATTTTATGTAGGTTTAGGAAATAGGAAAAGAGAGAGAGAGAGAGAGAAAGTGAGTATGTGTGTGTTTGCATTTGTGCATGTGTGAGTGAGTAAGTGAGTGGAAGAATGACTGATATGAAGAGGAAAGTGGCAGAAATATTGTTCTCTTCAGTTGGTAAACAGTTTTTCAGACTCAGTCACCAACATTTCTAGTACTCATTGTGTGTCTACCTTTGGCAGGGCACATGATGCTGATGTTGCCAGCATTGAGCTGACCTCATCTGTGACAGTCTGATGATTCTCTGATCTCATCTGTGACAGTCTGATGATTCTCTGATCTCATCTGTGACAGTCTGATGATTCTCTGATCTCATCTGTGACAGTCTGATGATTCTCTGATCTCATCTGTGACAGTCTGATGATTCTCTGATCTCATCTGTGACAGTCTGATGATTCTCTGATCTCATCTGTGACAGTCTGATGATTCTCTGATCTGATCTATTCTTGCCAAGTTTCCTATAAACTCTGTCTATTGTATTGAAGTATCCCACGCTTTCCTCACTGTCCCCAGGTCCGGTTGCCCTGTCCACTCTGTTATTGTATCACTGAAATGTCCCATGTTGCCTCTCTGTCCCCAGGTCCGGTTGCCCTGTCCACTCTGTCTATTGTATCACTGAAATGTCCCATGTTGCCTCTCTGTCCCCAGGTCCGGTTGCCCTGTCCACTCTGTTATTGTATCACTGAAATGTCCCATGTTGCCTCTCTGTCCCTAGGTCCGGTTGCCCTGTCCACTCTGTTATTGTATCACTGAAATGTCCCATGTTGCCTCTCTGTCCCCAGGTCCGGTTGCCCCTGTCCACTCTGTTATTGTATCACTGAAATGTCCCACGTTGCCTCTCTGTCCCCAGGTCCGGTTGCCCTGTCCACTCTGTTATTGTATCACTGAAATGTCCCATGTTGCCTCTCTGTCCCTAGGTCCGGTTGCCCTGTCCACTCTGTTATTGTATCACTGAAAATGTCCCCATGTTGCCTCTCTGTCCCTAGGTCCCGGTTGCCCTGTCCCACTCTGTTATTGTATCACTGAAATGTCCCATGTTGCCTCTCTGTCCCTAGGTCCGGTTGCCCTGTCCACTCTGTTATTGTATCACTGAAATGTCCCATATTGCCTCTCTGTCCCTAGGTCCGGTTGCCCTGTCCACTCTGTTATTGTATCACTGAAATGTCCCACGTTGCCTCTCTGTCCCTAGGTCCGGTTTGCCCTGTCCACTCTGTTATTGTATCACTGAAATGTCCCATGTTGCCTCTCTGTCCCCCTAGGTCCGGTTGCCCTGTCCACTCTGTTATTGTATCACTGAAAATGTCCCATGTTGCCTCTCTGTCCCCAGGTCCGGTTGCCCTGTCCACTCTGTTATTGTATCACTGAAATGTCCCATGTTGCCTCTCTGTCCCCAGGTCTGGTTGCCCTGTCCACTCTGTTATTGTATCACTGAAATGTCCCATGTTGCCTCTCTGTCCCCAGGTCTGGTTGCCCTGTCCACTCTGTTATTGTATCACTGAAATGTCCCATGTTGCCTCTCTGTCCCCAGGTCTGGTTGCCCTGTCCCACTCTGTTATTGTATCACTGAAATGTCCCATGTTGCCTCTCTGTCCCCAGGTCTGGTTGCCCTGTCCACTCTGTTATTGTATCACTGAAATGTCCCATGTTGCCTCTCTGTCCCCAGGTCCGGTTGCCCTGTCCACTCTGTTTATTGTATCACTGAAATGTCCCATGTTGCCTCTCTGTCCCTAGGTCCGGTTGCCCTGTCCACTCTGTTATTGTATCACTGAAATGTCCCATGTTGCCTCTCTGTCCCCAGGTCCGGTTGCCCTGTCCACTCTGTTATTGTATCACTGAAATGTCCCATATTGCCTCTCTGTCCCTAGGTCCGGTTGCCCTGTCCACTCTGTTATTCTATCACTGAAATGTCCCACGTTGCCTCTCTGTCCCTAGGTCCGGTTGCCCTGTCCACTCTGTTATTGTATCGCTGAAATGTCCCATGTTGCCTCTCTGTCCCTAGGTCCGGTTGCCCTGTCCACTCTGTTATTGTATCACTGAAATGTCCCATGTTGCCTCTCTGTCCCCAGGTCCGGTTGCCCTGTCCACTCTGTTATTGTATCACTGAAATGTCCCATGTTGCCTCTCTGTCCCCAGGTCTGGTTGCCCTGTCCACTCTGTTATTGTATCACTGAAATGTCCCATGTTGCCTCTCTGTCCCCAGGTCTGGTTGCCCTGTCCACTCTGTTATTGTATCACTGAAATGTCCCATGTTGCCTCTCTGTCCCCAGGTCTGGTTGCCCTGTCCACTCTGTTTATTGTATCACTGAAATGTCCCATGTTGCCCTCTCTGTCCCCCAGGTCTGGTTTGCCCTGTCCACTCTGTTATTGTATCACTGAAATGTCCCATGTTGCCTCTCTGTCCCCAGGTCCGGTTGCCCTGTCCACTCTGTTATTGTATCACTGAAATGTCCCATGTTGCCTCTCTGTCCCTAGGTCCGGTTGCCCTGTCCACTCTGTTATTGTATCACTGAAATGTCCCATGTTGCCTCTCTGTCCCCAGGTCTGGTTGCCCTGTCCACTCTGTTATTGTATCACTGAAATGTCCCATGTTGCCTCTCTGTCCCCAGGTCTGGTTGCCCTGTCCACTCTGTTATTGTATCACTGAAATGTCCCATGTTGCCTCTCTGTCCCCAGGTCCGGTTGCCCTGTCCACTCTGTTATTGTATCACTGAAATGTCCCATGTTGCCTCTCTGTCCCCAGGTCCGGTTGCCCTGTCCACTCTGTTATTGTATCACTGAAATGTCCCATGTTGCCTCTGTGTCCCCAGGTCCGGTTGCCCTGTCCACCCCGTGTCAGCTGATAGCCCCTGGAGTGGTCGTCAATGGAACCATGTCTATCACCAAGAGTGAACTCTACTTTGAGATGGACGAGGATGACCCACACAACAAGAAGACAGACCCAAAGGTAAGTCTGTACTGTCTGTATTATCTCACCTGCTTGTTTGTCTGTGGACATCTCCTGTATATCTGAAAACTCGTCATTTCTGTCCTTATGTTTGCTGATGTCTGTTCAGATAATCCAGTGGTCGAGCCATCTTCTTGGTGTGGTCAGACATTTGACCAGTGGTTGAGCTGTTTGCCTCATGCTTTGGAGATGGGGTTTTTCCTGGGCTGCCCCGATTGCTTCAGTTTTACATTTTTGTTGTTTTGTGATCCCTGGGGGTGACTTGAAGTTAGAGAGCTGAGCTTTACGTGACAGTTTTGGCAGACTGATATCTGCTCTGCATAGAGGGACTGAGACAGATCAAATCAAACCTTATTGAAGCAGGTGCTCTCACATCGATCCAGAAACTGGAAAACTGCAGTCCACTGGGATGTAGTCCTGGGCAGATCTTGTGTTATAAAGAAGGGAGAACATCTTCTAATGTCTTGCCAACACGTAGGTGATCATTCTTCTGTTTGTTTCTTTCACCAGAAGTGACCATGAAGTTTGACAAAGTTGCCTCGGTGGTCTGCTCAAACATTCACATGTGGATTCTTGCAGTTATGTCCATGTCTAGAGGTGTTACTTTGTTCACATCAACAGTTTTGCCAGTTGGCATGTTGAAAAATGGTTGCTTAAGCTGACATATTTCTGGTTTGCCTGGCAAGTTCAGCTGGCTTAATTTCTGTATTTCCGGCATTCTGTTTGCTTGTATATTCCAATGATTCTCTATTTCCGGCATTCTATTTGCTTGAATTTTTCAGTGATTCTCTATATTCGGCATTCTGTTTGCTTGTATTTTTCAGTGATTCTCTATATTCGGCATTCTGTTTGCTTGTATATCCCACCCGTTCTGTTTTTATGTTATGCTTGCTGTGTTTGGTCAGTTATCTATGGGAGGCAAAGTGTTCAGGAAAAAAAAATGGGTAATGGGAGGGGGGGTGGGGGGTGTATACTGGGCAAGTTTGCTGTTTGGACCCTTGTCTTTGACATCTAAACATAATCACAGCTAAAGATGATTGATGTCACTAAAGGTGGGGAAAAGAAGGGAAAAATGTGGTCCACTATAGTGAAGCAAGAGATGAGGAAAAGATGCTGGCAGTGGATAAGGCACCAGTTAATAAATACGCATAGAAGAAAACAATAGCACAGCTAGGCTTTTTTTTTTACTGGAGCCCACAAGGTAAAAGAATTAAAACAAAAGGTAGCAACAATACACGGCAAAAAATTGAAACAGACTGTAAGAAAGGCATAGAAGGAACCACGAGATACAGCAAAGTGGGCTATCTTCACCTGTGGGGTCTAAAGGTGTGTCCTCCTTTGAAGGATTAACTGTACCACAGATGTATTGGCTTGTTGTTTCCAGCAGATCAAAGAAGACAGTTTAGGTTGATGGATTTATTAAAGCACCTGTGGACGAGTCCAGGGTATAATGATGGTATTTCACTGACCTCTCCCCCATCCTTGAACATGATGCGAGTTAGCTGTGTATTCACGTTTGTTTTACAACGATATCTTCCTCTGTTAGCTCCTTATTTATCCATAATAATACAATCGTGCCAATGAAGAAACAAGACAGTGTTAGTACTGGCCTACAGTTGAGTCCAGAAACAAATATTAAATTGTCTTTACCTTCTCCATCTCCTCCTTCACTGGCTTTCTTTCTTCCTCTCTCTTTCTTTTTCTCTGTCTGTCTATCTAATCTATCTGCTTATCTGTCTGTCTGTCTAAGATAAACAGACATACATATATTCTCTGTATCTCCTCCTTCTCTATGTGCCTGTCGTTCTCTATCTGCCTTGTTGTCTGTTCTTTCTATCTCTTCTTTTGTCCTCTGTCTGTCTGTCTGTCTGCTCTCTCTCTCTCTCTCTCTCTCTCTCTCTCTCTCTCTCTCTCTCTCTCTCTCTCTCTCTCTCATTCTGTATATAAAATAAAATTGCCGTATGAAAGATGAATGCTTGGGAGGACCGAATGTAAGACCAATCTGTGCCCACTTTGTACCCTTTAGAAACATAGTTCGTTGTTTCGTTCTCTTAGTCCCTCCCTCTCACTCTGCCATTTACTCTCACTGTCTCATTCACTGTCTCTCAACACGTCATATTCTCCAGTAGAGAGACTCGTGGACATATTTCAAGCGTATACGGCGGTTCGGTTTATTTAGTGTAGTCAACCTAGCTCTGTGTCTAGTCGTATTAACGCCTTCAGACAGTGTTACACGTGCCAACATTCAAGCTTTATTGTTGTCTCTGCAAGCACGAGACGGGGAATGTCTGTGCTCTGGTTTGGTAGGTAGGCCGTGTTCCTAGATCGGCTGGGAAATTGTTGTTCAATCTTAGTCATGTAAAGACATGATACTGATAACACTTGCATTACTTTGTAGACTTTACATCGTTTAGATTGGTGGAGTGTTCATAGTTGTTGTTCTGTTGCAGATCCTAGTTGGTTGTGCTAGCTTCTCCATCACCTACTCTTCCTCCCACTTTTTTCTTTGTTCTTGTTCACGCCATCTGTGTCTTGGTCGTTATGGCCTTCACAGTCCACTGTCTCCTGTAAAATCAGCTCTGTTCTGGTACAAGTGTGTCTCCGTGCCATGTACAATCAGCTCTATTCTGGTACAAGTGTGTCTCCGTGACATGATTCCACATCATCTCATTTGTCTCTGTTGTTCTCTCACCTTCTGTTCCTATCCTTCCACTTTCTAGCTGCCTTACATTACCTTAGTTATTACCCCCGCCCCCGTTTTTTTGTTTTAATTTTAATTTTAATGACGTATCCAGAAAATAGGTACTGTCTTCTTCATGAAACCTGTATCTAGCCTCCGACAGTTCACACATGACAACAGTCACACTTGACCACAGTCACACTTGACCACAGTCACACTTGACCACGCCCGTCTCTCTAGCGAAGTTGGCTAAACCGGATTTCGCGGTGAGCGGGTGACGAACTCCTTGTGGTCCGGGTTCACTCCCGGGGGTGGGCAGAAAAGCCACATTTTCTCCCAGATTTACGGTATTTAAAAATGGAATCAAGGCCGAAAGGTTGCGATATCCATAATACCGAGCCTAAGAGTTAACAACTCATGGCTTCTGGATACTAAAACAAACAACACTTGACCACAGTCACACTTGACCACAGTCACACTTGATCACAGTCACACTTGACCACAGTCACACTTGACCACAGTCACACTTGACCACAGTCACACATGACAACAGTCACACTTGACCACAGTCACACATGACCACAGTCACACTTGACCACAGTCACACATGACAACAGTCACACTTGACCACAGTCACACATGACAAAAGTCACACTTGACCACAGTCACACTAGATCACATTCACACTTGACCACAGTCACACATGACCAGTCACACTTGACCACAGTCACACTTGACCACATTCACACTTGACGACAGTCACACTTGACCACAGTCACACTTGACCACAGTCACACTTGACCACAGTCACACTTGATCACAGTCACATTTGACCACAGTCACACTCGATCACAGTCACACGTGATCACAGTCACACTTGACCACAGTCACACTTGATCACAGTCACACTTGACCACAGTCACACTCGATCACAGTCACACTCGATCACAGTCACACATGATCACAGTCACACTTGATCACAGTCACACGTGATCACAGTCACACTAGATCACAGTCACACGTGATCACAGTCACACGTGATCACAGTCACACTTGACCACAGTCACACTTGATCACAGTCACACTTGACCACAGTCACACTTGACCACAGTCACACGTGACCACAGTCACACGTGACCACAGTCACACTAGATCACAGTCACGCTTGATCACAGTCACACTCGACCACAGTCACACTTGACCACAGTCACACTTGATCACAGTCACACTTGACTACACTCACACTTGACTACAGTCACACTTGACTACAGTCACACTCGACCACAGTCACACTTGACCACAGTCACACTTGACCACAGTCACACTTGACCACAGTCACACTTGACCACAGTCACACTTGACCACAGTCACACTCGACCACAGTCACACGCGATCACAGTCTCACTTAATCACATTCTCACTTGATCACAGTGACACTCGACTACAGTCACACTCGACCACAGTCACGCTCGACTACAGTCACACTTGACCAGTCACACTCGACCACAGTCACACTTGACCAGTCACACTTGACCACAGTCACACTCGACTACAGTCACACTTGACCACATTCACACTCGACCACAGTCACACTTGACCACAGTCACACTTGATCACAGTCACACTTGACCACAGTCACACTTGACCACAGTCACACTTGACCGTTGTTTGATGACCTCTGAGTACAGGCAGCCTTCAGTGGCACGTTTGGCTGCTCCTGTTGGACTGAGCTTGTTGAAATATATCTTGCCTTAATCTGTTAGTCAGAAACCTGCCTTGCCACCTGTCATTGAATCGTAGCAGTGGACGTCCAGTTCTGTGCCACCTGTCGTTGAATCGAAGCAGTGGACGTATAGTTCTTTGCCACCTGTCATTGAATCGTAGCAGTGGACGTATAGTTCTTTGCCACCTGTCATTGAATCGTAGCAGTGGACGTATAGTTCTTTGCCACCTGTCGTTGAATCGTAGCAGTGGACGTATAGTTCTTTGCCACCTGTCATTGAATCGTAGCAGTGGACGTATATAGTTCTTTGCCACCTGTCGTTGAATCGTAGCAGTGGACGTCTAGTTCTTCTGCCTGTCGTTTGCCAGCTGTCCCAAAACATGGTCGTTGGTATGAGCGAGCAGTTGGTGAGAGCCCTCTAGCCGCCGTTACCTCGTCTGTTCGACAATCATATGGTTGTTCTCTACAGCCTTTCTTATCATGTGCCCGGACTAAACTCCTTGCTCCTGCCTTTATAATTACGTGTAATGTTCTCTACCTGACTTTCTTCCAGACTGCCGTTGTTTTTACTCTCTCTCTCTCTCTCTCTCTCTCTCT